TTAATATGATGCAATATTAATTTAATTTCCTCAAAATTTAATTTATTTATCCTCAAAGCTCTTTGTGTCTATGATAAAAAGAGCTTTGAGGGCATTGTCAGTTAAGAGAATACAAACTACTATGTTTATCAGTCTCTCTTTTTCCACTTGTTATTTTTTTCATCTTTTACAAGGGTTGTAGAGTCCTGTGGAGGAGTCAGAGTTTGAAATATTCCCTTTATTCTGTTTCTGAAGTACTTAGCAAAGTGGCATATTTTTTTAATGTAATTTCAGAAATAACTTTTTACGACTCCATTGGATTTTGATTGGATGGGTCAGTGCTAATCTTTGAAAGAATAAATGGTTTTTCACTAACAGGCTTGGACTGTTGTACCATTGTTCTTTATGCTCAGTGTTTGTGGACTTGCACAAGAAGTTGTTGGGGTTTTTTCCTCTGTTTCCCAATTCCTACCTAAATAGTCTATTCATAATATGGTATCACACAAGGTGCTGGAGAAGAACTTGCTCTTCAAAGGATCTCTTCTCCTATTTCTATTGTCTTTCTTGTTCAGCTTTCAGTGGGAGAGTGTGCTTACATTTCTCTCAAGAAGGTAGCAAACCATTTTTTTCAGCTTTACTTTCTCTTGTTTTTCCACCGTCTTGCAGAAACATTCGTGTGGCCAGTGTTTGTAGAGACACATTAAAAGAAAATGTTGTGTAATCTTGAATGTGTGAGGAAGGACACAACTCAGTAGCACTGGGTGGAAAGAGATCCCTGCCATTAGATGAGTTTATTTTTAATCTGCTTGCAAAATCTGGAAAAGGAATCGTTCACTGCATACAGACTCATGTCTGACTTCAGAAGTAGATTGTAGTAGTTTATAACCACAGATATTATAATTTGAGGGTTACTATTTTCTGAAAAACCACTAACATTGCAATCTGTGGTTGCATTTCCTAGATCAAGTTTAGTGCTGCCACCTGATTCTTGAGTGGAAACAAAAGAGTTTTCCTATAAAATTGCAAAGCAACATATGGCTTGGTTTATTTTTTAAATAATGTCTGGAGTTCTCTGGTGTATCAAGTACACTACTTTTTCTTTCTGTCTTCCTAGAGATGTATATGTTGTGATTGTGTGGTTGTCATTTCTAATACATGGTTGACTGATTTCTCATGGTGTCAAATTGAGTATTTGAATAACTGTATTATATTTTTGATTAGGTATTCTTAATTTCTAACTGGTGTCATGTCAAAGCACACGTATCAAGAGTCCTGTAGGGGAGCCAACTTCGTGAATATAATTTTGTACCCAGACACTGATCAAATATGTAAAAAAAATAAAGGGAAGAGGAAGGAGAAGAAGAATTGCACCTCAGATGCCATTTTGTGAAGTGTTCTTCCTTAACTTCGTACAGAAAACTGTTTTTTTTCTATTTTCTTGACTCTATTGAAATAGCACTAAGGGGCTCAAATAATGATTTACCTTTTCTAGTTAAAGATTAAATAAGGGCCAATTTTTACCTTTGCGACCAAAATCTAAATTAGGATAGAATCTAAAGGTAGATGAAGCATTAAAGAAGAAAGAGCGAAAAGATGAAGGAAAAGTAAACATATGCTGAGAGAATGCACCTGCAGCTAAGTCTTTGTTTAACAGTAATAGGTAAGATCTGAATTTAAATACCTTTATATTAGATGATAATTTACTGTAACAGTGGAAATAGAGGAAAAAGACAGACAATGACTGAGTACTTAGAGGAGAGCACTTAGTGGAAGGTCTTGTAAAAGAAGTGAGGGTTTTTGTCACAGATAGAAAAAGTAATATCATTGATTAAGATCAAAAGTATATGACTGAGTTGACTAAGGAACTATTGTGCAGTGTTTGCTCCTTGAAGACTTCTGAAAACTGAATGAAAGGGATAAAAGAGTTTTCTTTCCATTTATTGATATCACAGAAAAGCTGTCTTTTGATACTCTTGTCGTTGTTTCACAGGACTCTTTGTTTGCCATTTTGAACTGCAGGTATGGGACAGTACAAACCAAGTCACCCAGTTCAGGAGCATTGGAAGACATTGTAAGGCCTGGTTTTTAAACAATAACGTGTGAAGAAAGCTGTGTGTTTTATGAAACTGTTTCATTTCTTCTGAATTCAGTGAGCAGGGTAACATTTCAACTCAGATGAGAAACAGATATTCAGATCTCAGAGAAACAGATCTATATGATTCCTCCTAGGGTATGGTCGGTGAATAATCACAGAAAAACCCCAACAAATCAAAAATGTTGCGGACAACTTCCAGCAGTCTGGTAAATCCAGACGTTGGGATGAAGCCCACTAAAGCAGGAGTCTTTTTGTGCATATGAGATTGTCCAGTCTGGTGGCTACATGATCTGTCTGGTGACAGTAACTGCTGAGATGATTTTCAGGGGGTAACAGGAGGTGATCAGTGTCTGAAACAGAGAACTGTTTATAAATTGGGAAGACACATCAGCAATTAATTTGGTTAACTAGAATGTGGTAGATGAATCATAGAATCACTTAGATTGGAAAAGATCCTTAAGACTGAGTCTCTCTGTTAACCTCACATTGCCAAGGCCATCACTAACCCATGTTCCCAAGTGCCACACCTAAACATTTTTTTAATACTTCCAGAGATGGTGATTTAACCACAACCCTGGGGACTTGTGCCAATACTAGTGGAAATGAAGAAGAATTCTTTCCAATTTTACTTTTTCTGTTTTAATGTCAGTGTAATAAACTAGAGTTCCATAAGGGCATTGCTAGTGGTTTCTCTTTTCTTACATTTTATTGATAAACTTGTAGAATTTAATTATGTTTTTATTTAGGCTTTATAGTCCAAATACTTATTTGGACTATGTAGTGTTTCAAGTATTGTATCAAGGATATGTAACATACTTTAATTGATAGTAAGTATTTAATGGGTGTAAAATGTTCTACATATTAAGATATAGCAGTTTATCAATTCTGTAATTTCCTTTGAAGAGTTTAATGGGATATATTATGGGTTTTTTTTCCATTCTAACACAAGACAGCACTTTGGGGCCTTTTGACAAATTAAACTGGCATGAGAATATAATTATAGGAACAGCATATTTCTGTAATATGTAATTTTCTACTACTTTTTCTGTTGGTCTTGCTAGCGTTCTATAGTGAAATATCTTTTTCTGGATTTTTTTTTGGTAAACTGAATTAAAATTGAAAAAAATCATAATAATTTTTCACAACTATGATTTTCATGTGTACTCTGCTCCAGAACAGTGGGGACTACATAGTTACACATTTTAAATTTGGGATTTTAGACTTTCACTGCTATAAAAATAGCAAAAGTGTAGTTTTGCAGAAACTCTTCTGTTTCAGCTGAAATAGAGCTTTCTTTTTCAGTTGAATAACTTCCACTGAAGTTATAATTAGGTGGATGATTCATTTTGTACATTAATAGCATATTGTAAAATGCCACTCTTAAATAAACAGATGAATTATGCAACTTCATAAATATCTTCTACTTCCAAAACCTTAGAATTCCACCTGTCCTCCAGCCAACCTTCCCCACTCCCCCAAATCCAAGTTGTAAATATGTATCATAAAATGTTTGTATTGCTCTGCAGTCAAGCAGACCTGTAAAAAAATATGTGGGTAATGCAGTGTTATGTCTAACAAGTGAAGAGTAATAAGGAATCTATTTATATTTACCTTTGATTTTCTAAATGTTTTGATTTAAAAGAACCCAAAAACATAAATCATGTGTGTGAATAAAAACACTAGAAGTCATGTTGTGTTCCTATTTGAACCACTGAGGTTTTTTCCGTTATTTCCTGCTTAATTCTTCAGGTGCACCACTAGTGTTTCTGTTTCTTCAAATTTGGAATGTCTAGAACAAAGGCACAGGAATTTCTAATTTCTGCCTTATTTCTGAGGCACTCTCCATTTTCCTCTTGATCTCCCTGACAAGTCACTTAAGATCATATGATTACTTTTACTGGGTGATTTTTTTTTGCTTTCTGAAAATGTCATATTTTCAGGATTTATAGGTATCTGAGGCTTGTCATTTTGTTCTCCTGAATCTTAGAAACAGAGCACTTGGATTAATAATGTCATTACTTATTCCATGAGTGGCTTTGGGAAGCTGGGACTTCAGTTTTGGGACAGTGACATTAGCCCAGCAATTTGTTTCCTTAACCAAATACTGCAGGTTATAGAGATGTTTCAAGAAGTGGTTCCTGGCTTTCTCTACAGTAATGCATTTGATGTAGGGTAATGCTAATTTAGGGGCGGGGTAGGTGGGTATCTTTTGCTGCTTTTTAGTACTGTGTACAGAATGTCCCTGGCAATTCCCAAAGTTTGGAAGCAAATTAATGATCTTGACAAGTTTTTATATACGTTTACAAAAAGCTTTGACAGTTTGTATCACAGTTTAGAAACTGATTTTGGTGGTGTGGGAATAGTTCAAACTGCATCAAGGAAGGTTCAGACTGCACATTGTGGAACTCTTCTTTAAAAGAGGGTGGTCAGACACTGGGAGAGGCTTCTGGAAAAGTGGTTGATGCTCTAAGACTGTCATTGTTTCAGAGGCTGTTGGAGAATCCCCTAATAATGTGCTTTAATTCTTGGGCAGCCCTGAAGTGCTCAGGCAGCTGCAACAGATGATCTTGTATGTTTCTTCCAACTGAAGTGGTCTGGCCTGATAACAGCAAGCGGTAAATCTCTGCCATCCCTGCTCCTGATGGAAAGTAATATCTAAATTGTTTTATTTTTTGTGCTCTCAGGGAACATTGCATTTATATATACACAGCTTTAAAGTGATGATTCATCTATTTTTTTTTCTCTCTTATTTACCATTTGGTACTGAATTTATTGATTTTTATAAAGATACCACATACATTTAGGATACCTATTACTGAGAAAAGAGTGTAGAGGCGATAAAATTTAGCAGGAGGAAAAAAGGGTGACTTTTTATCATATTTGTGACTTTTTTTTATGTCCACTGACATGCTTTTCTTTTGGAAAGGAAATTGTCAAGAAAGCATTAATGGAGGAGCAGAAACGAAGTGAAAAGGCAATCGAAGAAGCAGTAAAAAGAACAAGAGAGGAACTGATGGAATATATTAAAGAGCAGAAGAGGGTGAGTTACCAGATGAGTTTCATCATGAAGTGAGAAATTGGTAAAGTTTGCTAAACCTCAAACCTCTCTTAAAATTCACAAGAAAACAGAATCAGGAGTTAGGTCTTCTGATCTTTCACTTGTTTTTTCAAACAATTTATTATTATGAAGCATTATATATTTCTATATATTATGATACATATATTTTTGTAGACTTTTAAATCCATCACAAGTTGAAAAGCAGGCATTAATATTACATAAAGTAGCATAAAGATGAGGAGTAAATGCAGCCTATCAGATTTAAATTGTAATCTGAGCTCAGATCATAGAAGACATTTCAGTACAAATAACAGGTGCTATTTTTTGTTCACAAATGAAGTTTATTGTGAAGTTTGTATGCACAAAAAGACCGTTATTTTTTTCCTCTCAACCCATATTATCTGAGAACCTGAAAATGTACTGGTATTATATTAAGCATGATTTATAGTCAGTGCATTGGTCTTGTTATGAAATGTTGCAATGTTCTGAAAGTTGTTTTCAGTCATTCTATTAATGCTATATCCTGACAGTTTAATGCTTGTGTATAAACAGTAAAATGTAGCTCAAGGGACTTTGATTTGCTTTCAGTAGGAGGAGAAAAAAATAACACATTTCTCCCCTTTAAAGCTCTTTATAAAAACAAAAGCAAAAAATAATTTTAAAAAACCTCTTTCATATGACAGTAGCAGCCTGAGATCAAATTTCAGTATTCTCAATAAACAAAATCACTCAGCTTGAATGTAAGGGGTAATGTTGTCCTGAGAAGGAAGTAGAAATAATGAGTTTGGCCTCTGCTTCTATATTCCCTGCTTTTATGGGTTAAATAATAGTATGGGAAATAGGATTTACCTTCAGAAGTTTCACTCTGCTACTAGTTAAGACTGAAGTTGGGTGAGCTCCTTCCATTATGCTGTGTGTGGAGACATTTCCTTTTAGCAGGATTTGTTTGATTTGGAAATACAATTTAAACAGAATACAATGCAAAACATGATCCATAAGGATGTTTGAGCATATCTAAAGTCAGCTGCTTACAAAGGATAAGCTGTGTGGAAGGTGAAAGTAGGTCTACTGTTGAAATAACTTACAATAAGCTTCGTGAATAAATGGGCCCATAAGGCCTCTGGTGCAGATATATATTAAAAGATCACTTTCAAAGAAACAAAATCTTCCTTGGTTTATCTGGTAGGAGCATAAATTCCTTTCATTTCATAGAGCATAATAAAATATTTCAGCCAACCTTTTTCTCTTTATAATCAGTTGACACATAGCCATTAATTTAAAAAAAAAATACATAAGGAGAACTAGATTTTTCTGGCGTAAGACTTATAAAGACTGCCTATATTCAAGTTGTAAGTGAAAGACTTGTTTAACTCCAAATCATGTAGCATAATAGCTTTTATATGGTTACATAAGAGGCAGAGTGGTCAAAGCTCATACACTTGTAAGAGTAATAAATGTATTTTATGGACTGTGTTAGAAAGTAGAAGCTAGGAATCCCTAGAAAGAACTCAGGAAAAATGCCTTGTCTGGGATGCAGAGAAGTATTTGGTTAGGTTTTTTTGAGTGACAGGGGTATCCCACGTACAAACTTGAAAAGGTAGTAGAAACTCCGTGTCATCATTGTTTTGAAAATTTGTTTACAGAACCCTTCAAACCATGGGCACAGCAGTATTTGTACTTGGTTAGAAGGAGATTATTTGAATTAGTAGGAAGTTGCTTAACAAAAAGCAACAATATCATAATGCTAAAATGCTGGCAAGAATAAATATAACTTCCTCTTAATTGAAGCCAAAAAAGTCACCAAAGCTAGGAAAGAATTTGTTGGCATATCTTTCCACCTTCAAAAAAAGAACACTAATGCTAAAAAAAAAATTATTTAAAAAAACCCAAGCTGTGATGGAAACAGGTCTTTTCATACAATAAATGAAGATGTGGCATGCATTGTAATTATACCATATTTTTTTTGGCAGGTTTTTACAGATATATAGCACTACATTAGCAGCAGTTCTAATTATATACTGCAGTCTTAGTTTTATTTTCTCTGTTCTATATTAAATTAAGATTTTTATACTAAAAAAATGCTGGTTTTTTTAATGTTGCCACAGCTAACACCTTAAGAATGTGTATATCTAAGATGTGAAGGAAATTTCAGTCAGGAATTTAACTCTTTGTTACGTCATGGTTATTTCATAACCACCACCATTCTAAAACAGGTGTCAAAATTGAACTAGAGTCAGGCTGTCCTATCTGTTCAAAGACATATTCCATAGCTACCAAACTCATAGAGATTTTTTTTAAACATTAGTAGCACCATGAAGAATCTGACTCAGAATCAAATACACGTGCTTCATCTGTTAACCAGAATTGTTTTCCCCAGCTAAGGTCCATTCACATTATTTCTAGAAAGCTATCTTTATTAATTGCCTGAAGGTATATTTGACTGTTTAGTCTTACTTTGCCTGCATTTGTAATAAACATCAGGAAGACAAAACAATGCTTCACCTTGTTGCTGGTGGGATGGGAAATGAGAGGACAGAGGTAGAGGGTAGCACATAGATAAAAAGGCACTGAAGTAGGGCTAAATGTCAAGCCACTGCTTTCACTTGTGTCATACAAAAAAAAAATTATTTTCAGTTTGGATTTGCTGATGTGGTAGAATATATGTACATGTCCGCACATAAGCTCTCACATGTAGGTGTATACATCCACACTTGTATTTGTTACCTGGGGATCAAAGCAAGGACTAGAGCCTAATGTCCTGTCAACTCTGATTTAAGATTAGAGTTCTCAAACCCTGATCCCTGGGCTACAAGACAGAGGCATAGCTGTGGCCTTAACTGACCTTTACAACTGCATTGCTTTTGTAATATTTTTGGTTAAAATCTGATTAATGGGTACATGCTGCTCTGTTAGGGGTATAAAGAAAGGCTGGTCCTAGCCCTGCTCCACTTTTCATGGACTTCACATGGGGCTTTGGCCCATTTACTAAACAGTTTGCTTCAGTTGGCTGATGCCAAATTAAGTGGATATAAACAAAGCTTTTTCCCAAAGTGCAGTTTGTAAAGAGTTCCAAGGAACTTTCATGTTTGTTGTTTGCTCCTGAATGTGATGCAGTTCCAAGGATGCCTGAAATTTTGGAGGTGTGTTGCAAGCATTCCAGATATGTGAGGAAAGGAGAAGTGTGATAATTCCTTGTGCAAAGTGGGTTTTCCCTCATCCTTTGCTAGCACTTTGTCTCTTCTCACTGGTCCAAGATGTGAACAAAAAGAGGTGCTGCCTGCACCTGATGGTCCATGAAGCTAAAAAGACAAGATTTGATTTAAGGTAGTAAGGTGAAATTTCAGAATTCACCAGCCTAGCCAGCTGACTAGAGTAATGGCTTCATTTCTGAATTGAAAATAAATGGTAAAGTAGCAGATAAGCAATATCTGAATAAAATAATGTCAGTATTGCAGTATATTGATCTCCTTGCTTCTTAATCTTATTTTGAGGATTGTGTGTTGGACTTTTCTTTGCATTCATAATGTGGACCTACAGATGTTGAGCAGTTTAGTGTAGCTCCTGCTGTTCTATGAAGACAATTCCTGAAATATATTTTATATGACTGGCTGAGATAATTTTTTTAATTAATTTGCAGATAGGAAGTAAAAGAACCAACCAAACTTAATAAAAATAGTTTTTTTAATAACAGAATGAAAATATTGAAAGCTGTGTAATACTGACTTAAACAAGTATGTCTGTCAGGGCCATCTATACAGACCAGAATATCACCCAGAGAATTCTGGTGGAGTTTTATATTTCCAGGTGTCTCATAAAATTCTGATGATCAAGGCAATTGATTGATCAGTACTGTATTTCAAACTAAGATCTGTATCCAATTACTTGGTAGAAAGGTCAGGAAATTCTTTGCTCTGCTTATTTTTTCATACTTGGACAGTGTTCTGGCTTCTTGAACATAATCTGCAAATGTTAAAAACTTTCAACAAAACCTTTTGTTAAAAATTAAGCCTTGTTAGTTCTAAAATCAGACATATGTTAGGAAGTCTTGTAGAACAGAGGTTTACAAAAGGATTTTTGTTATAATATTTAGATATTTTGCCTGTGCTACAGGTTGCAAGTTGTTTATAAATGTCATAGTTCAGTATTTTGCTGCCTATTCATTCCAATTGAATGCTTAAAAATATTAATTCAATATGTTTTATTTATTTATTATGTATTTATGGCAGATAAAAAACAGTGAACTAGTATTATCGTGCCTACTATTTATTTATGTATCTTTTAATTTTGTGACCATTAGCTGTACAGAGATAAAAATTAATTCTTGAAGTTGATATACAAAGGAGAGAGTAAGTCACAAGAGGAAAAGTTTTCTATCAAATAAATCTTGTGCTGAATAAGTTATTTAAAGGACTTAATTATAAAAATTCACTTCCTGAGGTATCTAGCCACCTAGTAAATAGGAAAGATTTTAATTTTTCCTATTTACATTGATATTCATCTCCCATCAGGAAAATCTACTGCTTGTTTTCTGAATGCAAAGATGAGGATATTAATCAATCACCTTTTTTCTGCTAATTGTACACAGTTCTCATTGGCTTTAAAGGGCATATTTAAGGGCTGTCAGGGAAAAACTACATGTTAGGGCTTGAGTCATCACTGGAATGACATATTTGCTTTTAATGTAACCCCTGTTTCCCTGAAGGGCAGACACTTGTCATAAATGCACTCCCATCCTGATTTAAGGGTCAGATTCTGAGAGCAGTCACCATTATAACAAAACTCACTGTACTACTGTTTGTTCTCATATGATTTGTGCAGCTGTGCATCATAACCTTTAGAAGAAAACAGAACTAAACATTTCTCTGACTAATGTTTACCAAAATACTGCAGAATTGAGAATAGCCAAAGAGATACTTATGGGGATTTTGTATTTAATACGTAATTTTTTCTGATATTATAGAAACTAAGAGCCTATTTCAACC